CGTTCACTGTGGGTGGCTATGAAGACCTCCGTATATTGAAGTTTGTCATGCCGTTGATCATTATAATAAACGGACAACACAGGCTAATTATGATGTATGGCGCCTGGCTTTTACAGATGTTTTCGGGAGCAACTAAGAGATTGATCTAGTATAAACCTTTAGAGGCTATTAATAGTTTTACAAAATTGTGAGACTTTTCGAGAAGGCAACATGGCTGAATACGAAGAATCCCTGGAATACACTCTTTATTATTCAAGCATTCCATTTCTCGTCATTGGCTTTATCGGCAATATGTTGCTTATTCGAATTGTGCACAAGACAAGAGAAATGCATACTCCGACAAATTTTCTTTTGGCGAGCATCGCTGCTAGCGATATCATCACCATTTTGCTCTGGTCGTTCTACTTCTTTGAATTTGCCAAATTCGTTTGCAAATTTGTCGTTCTTATTGAAATCTCCATAAAGGTATCTTCTATCACTCTTACGGTGCTAGCAATAGAAAGATACAACGCTATATTGACGCCATTCAGAGCAGGTGTGTGGTTAACTCAAGACAAAATCAAGTACACCATCTGTTTCATTTGGTTCTCAAGCCTTGTAATTTGTTTCCCAGAATTTTTTCTGAAAGAATGGAGTGAGGCAGAGGAGACATGCATCGGTCCATGGACCTTTTACATGAGTCAAGCAAGCAAAATTTATACGGTCATAAATATAACAATTGTTTTTATTGAAATGGTGACCATATTTTACTGCTATGGATGCTTGATGAGGGGACTGTACTTTTCTAACAGAGTTTACCCGCAAACAGAAAGAGATGCATCGTCGGAGAAAAAGAAACTCATTATCACTTTGATGATTTCAACAACCCTATTCTCTATTGCCTTTGCACCAGTTGTAGTTTTTTACGCAATTGTAGCTACACGAAATAATGAACAGTTAGATCAAGACTATGAGTTATACGCTATTCTTGTGGGTGTATTCGATTTCATGTTTGTTTTCGCTGTGAGTTTCAACCCGATTATTTATGGTTTTCGCGCTACAAAACTCCGAGAAGAGTTTAAAAACATAATTCTCTGCCGGAGAATGACATCACTGCTGGATGTGAATCATTCACGGGATTCAATGAGCTGGGGCGAAGCCAGGGCTGGTTCGGATAGTTCGTTCGAACCCCCTAAACGTTTTTAAACACGAGCGGTTTCTGACGAAAACCTTTGGTGGAAATACATCGCTTACAAACACTATATGACCATTGTTATCTTATGAAAAATGACTGTGATGAAAAGAACAAAACATATTGACAGAGGAAAGTGCTTTCCTGGTTTTAAATGCCCTGTTGAGTTCATCAGTGTTATGGCAAAGACAAATTTATAACGGTACCGTTATTTCAGATTTATATTCGTTATTGGTCTCGATTATTGTGAATTTTTAAGAGTAGTTGATGCCAAAAAAAGAGCTCGTTTTAAAGGCATGTGACAACCTACAATTATCCTTTAAAACGCAGGAAATCACTTTTCCGAGGACCTAAATTTCAACATTTTTCCGGGGAAAGGTACGCCTTCGGCAAACATTTATCCGAACCCTCAATGATTTAGTTTGCTTCGGCTCGTACTTTCAGCAAGTCGGAACTCGATAACCGTTTTCAAAATTCGATAAACTCCTTCTGTTTTAAAAACAAAACAGACCCATTTTCTGCTAGAGCAGAGGCTGTACCGCCACCGAAATGATCCCCACCATCGAAATGATCTCCGCCACCGAAATGACCCCCAATCACCACCGAAATGATCCCCACCACCGAAATGATACCTATTCGCAATCGAAATGATCCCGTCTTAANCATTCCATTTCTCGTCATTGGCTTTATCGGCAATATGTTGCTTATTCGAATTGTGCACAAGACAGGAGAAATGCATACCCCGACAAATTTTCTTTTGGCGAGCATGGCTGCTAGCGATATCATCACCATTTTGCTCTGGTCCTTCTACTTCTTTGAATTTGCAAAATTCGTTTGCAAATTTGTCGTTCTTATTGAAATCTCCATAAAGGTATCTTCTATCACTCTTACGGTGCTAGCAATAGAAAGATACAACGCTATATTGACGCCATTCAGAGCAGGTTTGTGGTTAACTCAAGACAAAATCAAGTACACCATCTGTTTCATTTGGTTCTCAAGCCTTGTAATTTGTTTCCCAGAATTTTTTCTTAAAGAATGGAGTGAGACAGAGGAGACATGCATCGGTCCATGGACCTTTTACATGAGTCAAGCAAGCAAAATTTATACGGTCATAAATATAACAATTGTTTTGATTGAAATGGTGACCATATTTTACTGCTATGGCTGCTTGATGAGGGAACTGTACTTTTCTAACAGAGTTTACCCACAAACAGAAAGAGATGCATCGTCGGAGAAAAAGAAACTCGTTATCACTTTGATGATTTCAACAACACTATTCTCTATTGCCTTTGCACCAGTTGTAGTTTTTTACGCAATTGTAGCTACACGAAATAATGAACAGTTAGCTCAAGACTATGAGTTATACGCTGTTCTTGTGGGTGTATTCGATTTCATGTTTGTTTTCGCTGTGAGTTTCAACCCGATTATTTATGGTTTTCGCGCTACAAAATTCCGAGAAGAGTTTAAAAACATAATTCTCTGCCGGAGAAAGACATAACCGCTGGAGGTGAATCATTCACGGGATTCAAGAGCTGGGGCGGATCCATGGCTGGTTCGTGTGGTTCGTGTGGTTCGTGTGGTTCGTGTGGCTCGGGTGGTTCGTGTGGTTCGTGTGGTTCGGGTGGTTCGTGTGGTTCATGTGGTTCGGGTGTGTGGTGCGGGTGGTTCGGGTGGTTCGTGTGGTTCGGGTGGCTCGGGTTTTTCGTGTGGTTCAGGTGGTTCGTGTGGTTCGTGTGGTTCGTTTAAACACTAGCGGTTTCTGACGAAAACCTTTGGTGGACATATATCGCTTACAAACACTATATGACCATTGTTATATTATGGAAAAAAAATGACCGTGATGAAAAGAAAAAAAAACATTTTGACAAAGGAAAGTCCTTTCCGAGGACCTAAATTTCAACATTTTTCCGGGGAAAGGCACGCCTTCGGCAAACATTTATCCGAACCCCCAATCTTTTAGTTTGCTTCGGCTCGTACTTTCAGCAAATCGGAACTCAATAACCGTTTTCAAAAATCGATAAACTCCTTCTGTTTTAAAAACAAAACAGACCCATTTTCTGTTAGAGCAGTGAGAGATCCGTTAGTCAAATACGGCCTGCGAACAAAGACAATTCATATCGAGAAAAAGTAATCTATGCAAAGATAAGTTAAGTGGGTAAGTGGCTCTGTTAAGGCCCTCTTACCCAGACACGTTTTGCAATTATTCGCGACTTTTACTGCATTAATTATAAAGAAAAGTTTTAACGGCTCATGTAGCGGCGATTGTAGGCGCAATTTGTTTTGCAATTTTATTGTATTTTTTGTAATCTATATGCAGCAATTTCCGTAAGCTTATGTAATAAACGCGCCTATCGTCTTGGCTCTGTGTTTGTTGAGCTCTTGCGCAAAGAGTCTTTATGAAATCGGAGCTGGTTTACAGGCGCAAAAGTCGCCTCTGGAAACGGATTAATCGGGCCTTTACAGTGCGCCTCTGCCATATCAATCAAAATAACTATTGTATCTTCTTCTTAAGGGATAACAAGACCCACCCCCACCCCTTCCCCCGCCGCATAACAGGGCTTCTTCAATGGCTAACCAATTTTGGAGATTAACGTTGGCTTGCTAAAGTCAGTCACCAGAACAAGCTAAAAGTCGAATTGTTCTCATAAAAGTTAACTGCATCATAAACCCTTTTTGATGACTCTTTATTTTAAACAGCAATGAAAAAGCTACACTGATAACTTTGAACTTAAGTTCTGGATACATTTGCAATTAACAAATAGTGTAAAATTAACTAATACTTTATGATCATGACGAAACATAAAAGAGATTAATGTTTCATGAGTCGGTCGGTATAAGTCAATAAAGAACTCATTTCCTTATTAACAGCCAACAAAGTTTTCACTCGTTTTCACCAATAAAGATGTGAGAAAATTCAACAATTTTGGATTTGTTTTGCGTTATTACCTTATACGGACATTGAAGGGCAAAAACGGAACAGCCGTATTCAAGAGATCATACGAACTCTCGCCGTATTATAATACCGATAGATGCATGTAGAAATTGTTAGTATGAAGCTCGGCATCTTTGGAGCTACTGCAGCAACTGTTATCATTTAAAGTAAAACAATAATCTAGAGCAGCGGCCCTGTGATGGTCGGTCCTGTCTAGACTTGTTTTTCTGAAAAGCTGTGGGTTACGGGCCTGGGGCCCGTTTCTCGAAAGTCCCGGTAACTTTTCGAGCCCGAAATCAAATATTCAAATTGAAATATAAAGAATAAGAGCGCGGGTCCTGGGCAGCAAACTACTCCATTTTGTTTCACTAACTGATAGTTTTTTCATGCTAGATGCAAAACTTTTGAAACCTCGATCTTTGATATAAAAGGAGACAGCTTACTGGGCCCGTTAATTATCGGGACTTTCGAGAGCTGTGTGGGGGTAAGAAATCTTGAGTGAATGATGAATGTTCCTTTCACCTGTCGGTTTTCATATGGTGTAATTATTTTGTATTCTGTTCAATAGCACGGTTGGTCATGCGATGTTCCATATTGCATGAATGTGCCGTGTCATATTGGTTTTCGTGCGGTGATGAGGATGTGCAAATGGATGAACGGACAATCACGTAACAACTAAAAATTTTTTGGTAGCAGGTTACCAAATCTTGTAAGATATATACTAGAGACCAAGCGCTCGTTGACATAGGGTCCTTGGTTGCGTAATCTAATGAGTAAATAAAATAAAGTGCCTCTCACACAGAGTGCAATGATAGCTAGTTCTACTGTAAGAGTAAATTACTTGCTTTGGAAGAAATTATCTGCTTCCCTGACATTTAATTCTCTATTCAAGAAGGCATGTTGAATATCAAGGAAAGCGAAGACCTGGAATACAAACTTTATTATTCAAGCATTCCATTTCTTGTCATTGGCTTTATCGGCAATGTGCTGCTTATTCGAATTGTGCACAAGACAGGAGAAATGCATACCCCGACAAATTTTCTTTTGGCGAGCATGGCTGCTAGCGATATCATCACCATTTTGCTCTGGTCCTTCTACTTCTTTGAATTTGCAAAATTCNAAACTTTATTATTCAAGCATTCCATTTCTTGTCATTGGCTTTATCGGCAATGTGCTGCTTATTCGAATTGTGCACAAGACAGGAGAAATGCATACCCCGACAAATTTTCTTTTGGCGAGCATGGCTGCTAGCGATATCATCACCATTTTGCTCTGGTCCTTCTACTTCTTTGAATTTGCAAAATTCGTTTGCAAATTTGTCGTTCTTATTGAAATCTCCATAAAGGTATCTTCTGTCACTCTTACAGTGCTAGCAATAGAAAGATACAACGCTATATTGACGCCATTCAGAGCAGGTTTGTGGTTAACTCAAGACAAAATTAAGTACACCATCTGTTTCATTTGGTTCTCAAGCCTTGTTATTTGCTTCCCAGAATTTTCTCTAAAAGAATGGAGTGAGACAGAGGAGACATGCATCGGTCCATGGACCTTTTACATGAGTCAAGCAAGCAAAATTTATGTTATCGCAAATGTTACAATTCTTTGCATTGAAATAGTGACCATATTTTACTGCTATGGATGCTTGATAAGGGAACTGTACTTTTCTAATAGAGTTTACCCGCAAACAGAAAGAGATGCATCGTCGGAGAAAAAGAAGCTCGTTATCACTTTGATGTTGGCAACAACACCACTGCTTATTAGCTTCACGCCACTTGTAGCTTTTTACACATTTATACCGACACGAAATGGGGAACAGTTAGATATAGACTACGAGTTATATTCTAATCTTGTAGGTGTATTTGATTTTAATATGATCGTTTTCAGTTTGTGTTTCAACCCGATTATTTATGGTTTTCGCACCAGCAAATTCCGTGAGCAGCTTAAAAACCAAATTCTCTGCCGCAGACCGTCGCCGCAGAATGTGTATCCATGACATCCGCGATGACTAGCCATTTCGGACCGGTTGACGTTGACTTTCTAACGTCCGGCAGGACAAACTTAAAGTCTATCAGTCATGATATGGTTTTGAGTTACATTTTTTTTTTTTTCAGCAAAAAGCTGATGATTTTTTTTTCTCAGAAGAAAGAGCTTTAAAGCGCAGTTTTATTCAGTATTAACTTTCAAAGACTGAAATGTTCTTTCTACTGAATTTGAAATTTGAGAGTGAAATGGTGACTGTTGCAGCCTTCGAATCAGCCTAATGGCTGTCAACAATTTTAATCAAAAACCAGCTAAATTTTAATTTTAATTTAGCCTGCACATGACCTTTTTCCATTTACTCGACACCTGCAATAAACTTCTATTTGCGCGATGAGAAACCTTTGCAAATTATAACATAAGAAACTGTGTGTAAACAAAGGTTAAGACGTTATATTCTTGCACACTGATATCTGATGACTTTAACTCGGTTATCACTGGAGAAAAACAGTCTAGTCCGGCCAAGTCAAACTATTCATCTTAAATAACTTGACCATTCAGTATTTTATGCATTATTATTCTACTGACATTAGGTAACAAATAGAAATAAAATATGTAAAAAGAGAAAGATAAATAGAAGACTAGAATACATTATTGTAAGGGAGGAAAATGCGAAGCAAACAGAAGAATTTTTGTTACTGTGTACTCTGTAATTCTCCCTCACGATCTTGATTGAATGGTTCTCGGCTGGTTGACTCCCTCTGAAGAAGTCTTCAACGAATACAATACGGGGGCGCCCAACGACGGTTTCCTCCTAAATACACTGAAAACATTTTTTAGGCTATCCAGAGGTACTTTTAGATTTCTGGAAACGCATTCTAAGCGGCGCTATAAAATTTGCACCTGTTCGGTCATCTTAGTTGAACTTTGAATCTTTTCGAAAGTACAGAGCGCTTCAGTATAATTATTTTCCCGAAAAATTTCGACGCAATTTAACGCATTAGGGAAGTGAGAAAATTTTTCTGATTCCTCTCTCCATCACATTTTTTAATCCGAAAATTTACACCCTACACCGTACTTCCTTATAAAACAAGTCATCTATAGAGTGGCTAATATATTATCTATGGAATAGCCTGTCTAATGAAATCTTGGCATATAAATAGTGAAAACCATAATGTAAATCTTGTAAATGGAAACTGAAAAAAATTGTAGCAGTAAGCAGACAACTGGAGAAATGTCTTTCTGTGCCAAGATTTATTTAATATATATTTATATTTTTTTCTCACCAAGCAAATGTATAATCACAATTACTAATAATCCCTATTTACTTCAAGTAGTACAATGCCGGCACAAGAATTAGCACTATAAGCAAAAAGCTAAATGAAATGGTCAACGAATAAAGTAAACATTGACTACATAGATAAATATATAGATAAACAAACAAAGCAAAAAACTACCATTTAAGTTCAAGCTTATTTAAACATTAAATGAAAATAGATAGAAACCTGTAAATAGAAAACTGCATGTAGATAGTCACATTCTGTGGGCAAAGTCTATGCTTTAGTCCGTCTCTTTCGGTAATACAGTACTATTTATTCAGCTCATTTGAGTTATATTGTACACGATTCGATTTCTACCACGACTGTAATATGACTATAATGATACGTGGCTTTGGAAATCTTAATGGCGAGTAATAATTTTGGTTTAGATTGGACAAGATTTACACCTGTCTAAAACAAACACCAAAGCTCCAAGTTGATCTGAAGGATGCTACAGCAAACACTGCTGGTGCTGAATACGACATGTTTGCAGTTACAAGCGGAAGGACGAACTATCAGCTTAGTCTAAAAACATTCTCAGGTTAACATTTCTATTCTATTTTTAAACTAAATTTCCTCTCTTAAGCGATTATCTTTTGAAACTAAAGTAAACACTTTGTATACATTTTCACCAATCGAAAATATCAAAATCGATTATCCTTTCACATCGATTTCACAACGGCCAATCTTAAATTGGTGGCGTCTTTCTTACACCCCAGAAGATAGAAGCTGCTCGGGATTATTTTCAGAAACTAGTTTGCGACAACGAAGTAGAAAGTAATCTCTGCGGTTCAGCAGTGCACTGTCCACGACATGTTAGGGTCAAGGGTAACGTAGTGGAAGAACGTTCACAAGCGTCACTGAACGGTCTCTGGAAAGGAAAACACGGGGCAGGGGGTGGGGGGGAGTATGTATAAGCGCTTTCAGTCACATGATGTATTGCCGAAAATAGATGCGTTAATTATGACCTTCATTGTAATTTCATTTAAAGAGTACCAGAAAGAAATCAGCAAAGTACCCGAACCCTGCCATTAAACGGACAATAATATTTTTTACCCAAAGCTAACTTATTGTTTTCAGGAAAACGAGATTCTGGGATCGTAGAGGTCATTTCCGAAATTTACCTACGAGCATGTCCGAGAGTTTTATCAAGCGTCAATCATCCCAATGGATTTGAGAGTCATCAAAATCTAGCGAAGAAAGCTGTGAATTCCAGTAGTAAAGAAGAAAGAAATTTTGGGAAAGAAAAAAAATATCTTAAAATGGACTTGACGTTCTGGATGAACCACATGTGGTTCGACATTGAAAGAAATATACATACTGTATTCATACAAAGTGCCGCCAAAGGAGATAATTAGTAGCTGAAAGGAGAAAATGGGTCATCTGAATGTAACAACTTTCGCTAACTGATAAATGATAGTAATATAACAAAGTTGATACTTACATTATCCATTCAACCGCTAGGAGCAAACCCCAGTCATGTAGCGGAAGATTGACAGCTTGAAGAAGAATTATTTGCATAATTCCTGAACCTGGGATCCCTGCGGCTCCAAACGACACCGCGACCGCCATCAAACTGTGGTTGGGATTTAAAAACAATTTGAGGTACATATCTCTCTCTTACACTTACAGTATACTTATGCTAAAAGGATTGCTTTGGTTACACATATTAGGTAAAGCTATTTACAATAGTAATAGAATTGAATTTAGGCTCGATTACTAGCCACTGTTTAGGAAATAAGCCCGCGCTCCTCCCCCGAAAAGACTCTTTTTCTCTCTCTCGGGAGGGACAAAAAGCGGACCCAAGAGAGCTGTGGAAACGGAGCCTAGACTAAGAGGAGTTCAAATCGGTCTGTAATCATATCAATGATTATAAACGTCGATGACTCAAATCGTTCAATATTACTGAGGCATGACACGCACAGTCCTATTCGACTTACAATCCGTAACTGTAACAAAATTGTCTAATGTGATTGGCTTTCGGCGGCCAATTGAAAGGACAAGCGTCATCCCAACGTAATAAGACAGAACGCGCCATGGCACACACTGTAACTAAAACACTTGCTCTTGAATGGGTTCTCTTCTTTCTTTTCTTACGTCACGAGAGAAAGCTGAAATTATTTTTTTTTAAAAATGTGGGTAATAAAAACTCGTGATGTCTAAATTTGTCTGTAATGATTCTCTTACTTAACAAATCGGATTTCCGCTTCGCTTCGTAAACACGTTTGTGATTGGTGATTGAAGTGGTCTTTATTCTGTCTTATTACCAATCTGGATTTGACTTGGCCTAGGAATAACCAAAGGTTAAGAAGTGCGGGCGACGTTAACAGCAGTGTTCAAACGTCAACAACGTTGTGCTTTGCGTAAGTATCACGTGAGGTCAAAACGCGTGATCAGATTGCGGCCTATGCATTCCATTCATTCTCAGTGTAAGTCCAAACGGATGCTGGCTACATACGTGCCGCGCATTTAATGTAATAGCAGCCTGCTGGAGATTAGGATTGTGGGCTCCTCTTGACGACCGCGATAATACTCGCTAATACCTACTTAAAAAGTCCGGCGCGAATGCAGACCAGCTTGGTTACCCTTTTAAGGAAAACGGTCACAATTTTGATGATTAATCACAAAGAAGCCCTTTCATAACATGAATTAAGAGTGTTAAGATTTTTAGAGATTCACATGATCCGGAAAAGGTGATAAAACTGACTTATCAATCGAAACTGGGAGATTTTTGAGGTCACCGTGAAAGATTTCTGTTTTCTAGTCACTGATGTTGGTAAAAGACGACCAAATTAGGCCCATTTCTGACACATCTGGGAATGCAAGATCATCGCAGTGCTATAGTTAAATAATCACAGGATTTCAAGTGGTATGTGTAAAGCAATCACACTTACCAAACAATAACAATTCGTCCAGGACTCATGGAAATGTTGTTAAGCTGAGCAATGAAGATGGTAGCGACCACGCGAGCAATGCTTAAACCGTCCATATTTATGGTGGCGCCAAGAGGAAGCATAAAGCGACTGATGCGAGGATCAATCTTGTTATTTTCTTCCACGCAGCGAATTGTTGTGGGAAGTGTGGCTGCACTGAAATGGAAATAAGCAGGAATTATGCACGGTATAAGACATCGTAGTCCGACACCGTAGCCTCGAAACGTAAAAGTTGACCATCCGCCAGGGGAGTTTACCTTATCTACAGGGGCGGATCTAGAGGGAGGGTGCAGGGGGTGCG